ATATTATATCTGACAGTAATAAATAGAACAATGATGAAAATCCACATAAAGAACTGAGTGAAACATTATTTATTAAACAAAATGAACATTATTTGAAATTTTGTAGCTTAGTAAACTAAGTTTTTACAAGATGCATAAATTTTAAAGATATGCATAATATTAAAAACTAACCTTACGAATAAAATCCAAAATAAAACAGGCCCAATCCGGAGAATTTTAACGGTTGTAATGATATTTGCAAAATAAACTGGCAAATCTGTATTATATGATAATATAATTATAATTTAAATATATTTAAGTAAAGATTATTTATGAGATTAATTTATGAGATTATATAGAAATATTTATTACCTGTTCATGTATCTCAGTAAAAGGTAAGGTAAGATTTGTCAATTTATGAATAACATCCTTAGTATTTTGTGCCTGAAATAATGTAAAAATATTTGTATTATTTTATTTTTGTAATAATTTAATTATTATATTCAACAACGACATTAATATTTTTTTTATAAAGATCAAATTTCCAGACTTTTAGTTTTATAAGTACAGAATGAATTAATTTTGTAATATCAATGTTTTTTTAGATAATCATTATATTACACATTTACACAGCGTGTTCCGCGGCAATAACTACGCACAAGTCGTCTGAAATAAATAATTCCTCACATATCAACTATGCCTATCAAATAATGATCGCCGGGCGGGAGTATCTTGAGGAATACCGCGCGCTTGCATTTGCCGGTGGACCGGGCTAATATGGTGATTTTTAATAATTAATATCTCGATTATTATTCCGAATTTCACAAAATGGTATGGGACTTTTATGTTCAGCTCGGTCCCATCTATTTTTTACGAACGGTGGCAGAAGTCTCGCGGAACACCCTGTATATCTTATAAAAAAGTTGAGGATTACTTTTTTCTTGTAAAAAAAATATTTTTTCAATCTAAAAATTCTTACTTAGTGTTAACGTTTTCACAAATATGATTTACTAATATCTTATAACAAGTATTGTAGACCGTATACTGCATGTTAGTGCATTAGATGCACTATGTAAATTTTGCACAATATCAATAACTCAAATAATAATACAAATACAAATAAATAATAATACAAATAATAATACTTTTAATTTGTTTCGTATGTCTCCAGTATACAAATATTTATATTATACTTACTAATTAATTATTTATACAAACATAAATACTTGTAAACATATTAATTCCCATTGTCTGTTATAATATTTTATGAAATATAATTAATATAATTAATAATTAAGCTACGATAGTATAAGTATTAGCGGAAGTACACAACATGTCTTTTGTAGCATTTACACGTATTAAAAGCTTAAAAGATATTTATACTAATATTTATAAAAATTCGTATAATTATAACTATAACTATACATTTATATTTTAATTATAACTATAAATCTATTAATTTAATTAATTTAATATTATATATAATATATATATAATATATAATATATAATAAAATATATCTGTTTATTATATGCATATATAAATATTAATAAATCATAAAAAAATAATCACAATCATAAACAATTTAATAAAAATATTAACATTATATTTTAATATCAATTTTACTTGTAATAATATAATAATACAATTGTATGAAAAGTGAAAAAGAAATAGACTGAAAGAAATTTATTTAAATTTATGAAAATATAAAGATTTATGTTCTAAAATTGCTTTTTACTTGCTATGCATTTTATACAAGTATTATATTATTTTATTAAAGTAAAATATAAAGTAGTAAGAACATAAAAATTTGCTAAAAATTTAAATAAAAATTTTTAATAGGATTTCTCAGATGAATAAGTCGAAAATATTTTACAATCATTTTCACATTTTTGCATTTAATATTCAAATAAAGTCTTTTTTAATTATTTTTTATTAGTTTTATGTTGCTATTATTAAGAAAATAACACATCTCGAATTATACGATTAGCTCCCAGTAAAATTTAAGAAATGTGTGTATTTTAATAATAATACAGCAATTAATACATTATTTTCAAAACATAAAAGATATATACTTTTGTTTCCTAAATAACAATCTTTATGTACTATATAATTCTGGATATCAATTTGACCAATCTTTTTAAAAGCCCAGAACCGCCTGAGATTTCGACATTTGAATTATAATAATTAATGTTGTCACAGTTGTTGTAATAAACTGAAAGAAATAATGTAATTAAATTATAATGCCAATTTCTATAACTAGAGAAAATATTTTAGATTTATTTTTGTACAATGATTTATATTTCTGACATATAATAAAATAGTAATAATAATATTATTTTAAGCTATAATAATAAAAATCAATAATATATCTTGTATCTTATAATCATGTATTTTATAATCTATAAAACAAGATATAGAAATAAAAAGAGTTTATAAAATAAATATAAAAACCAACTTTTCGGAGAAAGTTGTTGCCAAAGTTGATCAGACCTAGTCCAGTGAGTTTCAATGGATGGTGTATTATTTGTAATGTAAACTGGTAAATCTGTACAGAATAATTGTTATTATATTTAAATCTAAATAATTTATTTAATTTGTCTAGATTCTATTTTAGATTCATTTCTTTATTATTAAAATTTATTGTACCTCGTTATAAACATCAGCATATCGAAAAGAATTTGTTAATCCATGAATTATGATACTTATTTCCTTAGACTAAAATTTATTTGTTTTTAATAAATAAATAAATAAATATGTGTACTATGGAAAATTATGTGTTAAAATTATATAAAATTATATATTATGTGAAAATTTACCTTAATGGTAACACTCTCGCAAATATAATTTAAACAAATAAGTCTGATTATATATAAAGATATCCAAAAATGGAAATCAATCCAATTAAACGCCGATGATAGCAATTTGTCTTCAGTTATTATAATTAACAAAATATAACGAAATAATCTTATTATAACTACCAAATAAGCTATCATTTCTATAGTTATTTGTATTTCAAACAATTTATTTAACTCGCGAGTGAGTTGACACAATTCCAAATGAAGATGCCTATCAAAATGTAATATAAAAATATAATTTATTATTATTAATAAAATCACAAAATAATATAAAGTAAATAAAGAGGAAATAATTTTATTTATATTTCTATTTAAAGATTTTTCTATCTAAATAAAATACATTATTTAAATAAATCAAATCTCAATTGAATTTTCAATGTTAAATTAAATCTTGATCATATAATAAACTATAAAAACATTTTTGTACCGATTTACATTGTACTCCATAATATGCGTTTATAATCGTTAACGCACATGATATATCGATCAGAAGTCAATATTCTTTTTCTCCATGTATATTTTAAATCATATTCCTCTCTCAATAGTAAAAGTCTCATGTGCTCGTTTAATTTATCAAATCTGGTGCCAATATACCTGTAAAAATATAATAATTATACAATTTTAAAATTTTCAAAGAAAGTTTCAAATAAGTTTTAAATTAACTTTAAAAATTTTAAATTATTTTTATTATATTTTATCTCTTATTTTAAATTTTTACTATATTTTATCTCTTATTTTGATTTGTAAAAATAAAAATAAAAATTATTATCTTTATTGTATGTAGATATGTATATTAATCACTTATTTTTATTAAAATATATTTATCAATAATATATTGTATTCTTTTTTAAATGTATCTAATAAATAAATTGAATTCTTTTCT